TCAAAGAGCCTAAACAACATATGATAATGAAAAATAAAAATCACATCTCATTCCTTTATGCTATCCGGCAAATCTGTATATACTGTAAACCTCTGAACTCTGTTTCTTACAAATTATAGGAAAGGTAAAAGGTTTATACATATCCAATATCACCTTTCTCCTTTCTCTAACTCCCTTTGACAAATCCTAATATACATCTTATTTCATTATACTGGAGAACTTTTATCTTATTAAAGGAAAATCAATCAGGAATAAAAATATCCATGTACCTTAAAACAAAGCAAGTCAACTGAATTGTAAACAGTGATTATCCCCTTTGGAATTAACAAATATTCACTAATGTTAAAAATGTGATTTATATAATGGATTATATTCCAAAGTAGGAACAAAGACATAAAATGGACATTAAAAGCACAGCATATCCCACTGGTGTGCAGGTGGAACACAATGCCATGAATGATTTATGCATAACAACTAAACAATTACGAGAAGTGTCTAGATGGAGCATACCAGGTTATCAGAGCTATATGACTTTCTTATTTACTGATAATAAAATTTGTCTAACTTTCCAATATTTCTTTATTTGTTGAGATATCCAATCTAATGGTGAGTGGAAATATAGAATGATAAGTTCTTGGCCATAATATTCTACAGATATAACAAAAGTATCTGGAATAACACAAACATTATTCAAATTCCATATAGTAACACTCAAGCACCCAGATATGATAAACAAAAGACAATGATATCAACAATCAAATACTAAGAAAGAGTTTTAGACTTTGTAGCAATAAATCTGTACTGGTAGGCTCCCATCTAGGACAAAGAGGTATAACTGAAGCAACTCATATTAGGAGCATTGTAGAAAAACAACTACAAAAGACAAATGTGTCTATATAATGAAGTCTCTAACCATAGCAGATGAAGTACGATATGTCAAAATACATCCTCACTGCCTAAGATTTCCGAATTTGGATATTTACTTCTTTTATTTTTGGTTAATGTATCTATAACGTAAATAGCCCTAACAGGCTATTTGTAAAGAAGTAAAAAGTACTCTGATAACTTGGCATTTCATCATAGTTTTATTATAATTGCATCAATCTCTTTGGTTTAGTTCTAACCTAAAAGGTAGCAGTACAAGAATGCAGCCATTAATGCTTTCAGAAGTGGAACATAAATGCAAATAAAAGTTTAAAGGGTCAGCCTACAAGCTAAGGGAAGTAATCATGTAGCAGTTTAGCTGAATTATTAAAAGTAAGTAAGTTTTAGGGGTATTCTAGAGTATAACATTATCAGGCCACAAACCTCCTCCTCTTATGATGGTACAATATGCATAATGTCTGTAATGATAAAAGTAAAATTAATCAGAATATTACAACCTACATACCAGATTAGTTGGGAGAGTAATATACAAGAAACCAAAATACATTACACATTACACACTTTGAGTTTTCCTTTCAGTCAAGTACATGCTTATTGACTTATAATGCCACTCGCTGTCTTGGCACTACCATTGAAAGTAAAATGGAAAAATAAGAAATAAAAAATATCAATCTTATTGGTAAATTATCATCACTGACTTAGTCACATGTGAAATCAGCACAAGTTATCATACTTTTCTGAACATAATTTCTTAACCAGATTCATAATAAAATAACCTCTATTTATGAATGTAATGACATAGACCATCTTTACTGTGCTTATATCCATACACACTAAACACACTTAAGAAAAACAACTACCATTGTTTCTATAAACATACAAATTATGTGTTTGTGTCACTTCTTAGTAACATACAGATACTAGTATGAAGAAAACACATCTTTGCTTCCTTGTTTCCTAAATAAAAACATGCAAAAACACTTTCAATCACTAATCAATGGTGAAAAAAACACAATCTAAGCTTCTATTGGAATTGCAAATTGGAAAATAGTTCTTCCATAAACTGTAACTTTATGACACTAATGCACCATCAAATAGCCGCATCAATGAACAGCTTCAGAGTGCAATACACACGGATACATATTTATCAAATACATAAATACTTACCACAGGCCACTAGTGTGTGTGCACGTCCACATGCTACATGTAATGCCTTCTCTGGCTTTAGAGCTAGAAGAATAAAGAAAAGAAAAGAAAAGAAAAGAAAAGAAAAGAAAAGAAAAGAAAAGAAAAGAAAAGAAAAGAAAAGAAAAGAAAAGAAAAGAAAAGAAAAGAAAAGAAAAGAAAAGAAAAGAAAAGAAAAGAAAAGAAAAGAAAAGAAAAGAAAAGAAAAGAAAAGAAAAGAAAAGAAAAGAAAAGAAAAGAAAAGAAAAGAAAAGAAAAGAAAAGAAAAGAAAAGAAAAGAAAAGAAAAGAAAAGAAAAGAAAAGAAAAGAAAAGAAAAGAAAAGAAAAGAAAAGAAAAGAAAAGAAAAGAAAAGAAAAGAAAAGAAAAGAAAAGAAAAGAAAAGAAAAGAAAAGAAAAGAAAAGAAAAGAAAAGAAAAGAAAAGAAAAGAAAAGAAAAGAAAAGAAAAGAAAAGAAAAGAAAAGAAAAGAAAAGAAAAGAAAAGAAAAGAAAAGAAAAGAAAAGAAAAGAAAAGAAAAGAAAAGAAAAGAAAAGAAAAGAAAAGAAAAGAAAAGAAAAGAAAAGAAAAGAAAAGAAAAGAAAAGAAAAGAAAAGAAAAGAAAAGAAAAGAAAAGAAAAGAAAAGAAAAGAAAAGAAAAGAAAAGAAAAGAAAAGAAAAGAAAAGAAAAGAAAAGAAAAGAAAAGAAAAGAAAAGAAAAGAAAAGAAAAGAAAAGAAAAGAAAAGAAAAGAAAAGAAAAGAAAAGAAAAGAAAAGAAAAGAAAAGAAAAGAAAAGAAAAGAAAAGAAAAGAAAAGAAAAGAAAAGAAAAGAAAAGAAAAGAAAAGAAAAGAAAAGAAAAGAAAAGAAAAGAAAAGAAAAGAAAAGAAAAGAAAAGAAAAGAAAAGAAAAGAAAAGAAAAGAAAAGAAAAGAAAAGAAAAGAAAAGAAAAGAAAAGAAAAGAAAAGAAAAGAAAAGAAAAGAAAAGAAAAGAAAAGAAAAGAAAAGAAAAGAAAAGAAAAGAAAAGAAAAGAAAAGAAAAGAAAAGAAAAGAAAAGAAAAGAAAAGAAAAGAAAAGAAAAGAAAAGAAAAGAAAAGAAAAGAAAAGAAAAGAAAAGAAAAGAAAAGAAAAGAAAAGAAAAGAAAAGAAAAGAAAAGAAAAGAAAAGAAAAGAAAAGAAAAGAAAAGAAAAGAAAAGAAAAGAAAAGAAAAGAAAAGAAAAGAAAAGAAAAGAAAAGAAAAGAAAAGAAAAGAAAAGAAAAGAAAAGAAAAGAAAAGAAAAGAAAAGAAAAGAAAAGAAAAGAAAAGAAAAGAAAAGAAAAGAAAAGAAAAGAAAAGAAAAGAAAAGAAAAGAAAAGAAAAGAAGAAAAGCAAAAGAAAAGAAAATACATGAAAAGAAAAGAAAAGAAAAGAAAAAAAAATGAAAAGAAAAAGAGAGGGAGAGAGACAGAGACAGACAGAGAGACAGAAACAGACAGACAGAGACAGAGACAGAGGAAAACCTATATCTCACCTTTAACACAAGATGGTTTGTGAACAGTCTTTGTCGAACCAAGGCCCAGCTGTCCCATATCATTACTCCCTATCATAAATAATCTACCGGTTTCTGAAACAAAGTTTTAAAGCTCGTTTAACAATTCATAATTCAGAAAGCACTGAGAAAATATTCACTAATAACACAATAATAATAACAATAATAATAATAATAATAATAATGATAATAATAATAATAATAATAATAATAATAATAATAATAATAGTAATAGTAATAGTAATGATGATAATAATAATAATAGTAATGATAATAATAATAATAATAATAATAATAATAATAATAATAATAATGATAATAATAATAATAATGATAGTAATAATAATGATTATTATTATTATTATTATCATTATTATTATTATCATTATTATTATTATTACTGTTATTATCATTATCATTATCATTATCATCATCATCATCATCAATAATACTAAAACAACTCATACAATTATTACTAATGATGATGATGATGACAAAAATAATAATAATAATAATAGGAAGAATAATAAGTATAAGAATAAAAATAAAAATAACAATAATAATAAGAAGAATAAGAATAACAATTACTACAACTATCATTATTGATGTCATCAACATTATCCATATTATTGTTATCATTAGTATCATCATGATCATTATCATTATCATTATTCTTTTAATCTTTTATTATCATAATCATTATCATTATTATCATTATCCTTATTATTATCATTATCCTTATTATTATCATTATTATTATCATGATCATTATTATTATCATCATTATCATTATTATCATCATTATCATTAACATTATCATTATTATCGTTAACATCATTAGCATTATCATTTATTAGCATTATCATTTATTAGCATTATCATTTTTTAGCATTATCATTTATAAAATTATCAATAACAATTACAGTAATATCAATATCAACATTACTGATGGTGATATATAATGCATGGTAATAAGTCTTGTGCCTTACCTGTGATAACAGCAGTGTGTTCATCTCCACAAGCAATTTCCACAACAACATCATTCTTGATCCAGAACTTTGACGGCACATTGTCCGCAAATCTACTTTTTCCAAATGTAAAAACTGCCCCTGTATCTGAAAAAAGATAAACATTGATCTTAATAATGAAAGGAAGATTGGGATATCTTACTTCATACATGGAGGGTCTTTCCTTGCACACAGATGAAGTGAATAATGATCCTTACTTCAACATGTTACTATTCAAATGTCTGTTTAAAATATAGCACATCTTTCCATACATTATCTGTTACAGACAATGGTAACTAAATGAACAGGCAATGCATTGATTATCTTTTAAACAGTCCATTTATACTAAAAACATTACCATAAAGTCATTCTAGTAACTAGCATACATAAATAAGATTTACTAGAAATTTAAATATTTAAATTTAAATATGCATCTGAATTCTGGTGAAAGAATTTTGTACGGTCACTTTCATCAATATGTATATATGCATTCCTAAGGTCTTCCTCAACGGGTTTTCATGGTCTACGCTTTATAGGTCTCTCTGCCAGCTATCAATATGTGAAAAGGTCATTCCAGGAAATCTCAATCAATACCTAGGTCTCATCCTTGTTTCATGCAGTAAGAGTCACAATGTAAGATGTTTCTTAGGAGATAATCCCTTTGTTAAAATAAATACTAGACTATCCATTACATATACCTGTATTATTCTGAATGCTGATATTAATATAGAGAATTTTATTTTTTTCTAAAGGAATCAAGGTTTACCTCAAATCAGATATATGATAACAAAACTTTTATCACATTATCTGTTTTTCTATTGCTACACATAGAATTTGAAACTCCATACACTTTGACCATTCACGTAAAGCCAGCATGGATGGAATCAATCGCTAAAATTAATAGATAATAAAATTTCATATCTAATCAATATTCAAATTAGTTAAACCATCACATCTCATATCTTATATGTCAAGATCTATAACCTATTACACAATACAAAACTACTATTACTTATTATATCAATATTTCTATTTTCTTAATGAATGGGTTCACCAAAACATATCAGTGAGGTTACAGTAAAAAATAATATAAAGGAAATTCAAACAATAAATATATAATACTAATGAATAATACAATATAGTGCTTAAGCACATCTAAAATCAGCAATAATAATAAATGCAGGCCAGAAAATATTGACCAATATTTTCGCTTACCAATATTTCAAATATTGGTAAGCGACCAGGATACACCAAGTGTTAGTTATGCATTGGTAATGAGATCTCATCTTTTATATATAATTTTCACTGTTTATTAGTCCTGTTAATAATGATCTATAAATGTGATAACTATATGACAACTATTTTTTTATATACACATACTCCGTTTAGGCAAACAACCATTTGTAAAAATAGATGTACAAAAACTGCTCTGTTCATCAAGATATTCTTGTTCTTCTATTTTAAGTTGTGATATAAAAATCTTTTGGAATGAGAAGGTCTACAGAAGTCTCGCCCTTCTATTTTTATTATCGGTACCCTAAAATAATCGACTGTATCACCAGTACGGAAAGTATTTCATAATATTCTACTGTTGCCGCTCAAGAGTGTATTGACATTGCAGTACTGGCATGATCAATGTTACATTATTCCATTTTATTTGATAAAATTGATTAAATAATTCTGTAACTATATTTCAACTGCCAAGATGTACATATTGTTCCTACCTAAATCTCTAAAGTTTGTAAGAATCTAATAATCTTACGGGTACATGTAAAAAGTTAAACCATCCTCTCACACAGTCATGTAACTTCAACAAGTCGGCGAAGTTTTCGCAGCGGCACGACCCGATGCAACTTTATCAGACCTTTAAATCTCTCTTTACCTCGTATTTCACGGCCCTCTACACTATCCAGCGATGAACAAACGTTTTATCTTACGACCCACATCACTCTCGCCGACTGTCATTCACAAAGTCCACTAAAATCGCATAAAATATTACCTGGGATGTCGAAGTCGTCTCCCACTGCCATTTTCAGTCAAAACAATGCGGGTCTCGGAGGGAGTCGACGCGGCGATCGATGGCCGCGTTTGGGATATTTATGACGGCACGCGGCGGCACGCTTCGAATGGGGACAGCAGGGGCCTGCAAGAATAACGATTGTGATAATGAAAGAGGTAGAGGAGGAATGAAGTGTTGTAATCATGATGATGATAAGAGGATAATGAGGACTAACGATCATAATAAAAAAAACCCGAATGATAACGATAATGAAATAATGTTAATATGGCGCTTTATATCCTGTTGCTGCACTGTTTTGAAATAAAAAATGTCCGACACATTGGAAAGTCATCTATATAACTTCTCTTTTCTTATTATAGCATATTTGTTCATCGGATATTTTGTTGAGCTTACAGGAAAGCTAATATGCATGTGATAAGCACCTTTCCCGTCGGTAGACTGCTGTGTATCGATCGAACGATTTTTTTTTATAGTAACATGTTATTAAATATCGCTGGCGTCCACACCCTGGAAAAGTCTAAGTGGAAATCAATATCGGACGGGCCACGAACAGGTGTTTTTGTCACGCAATGCACACTAAAATGATTGTTCCTATAGCATGCCATCTGCATTTCCTCCATCAACTCTGATCTGTTATTTCTGCAACATTGGCAAGTTGGATATATATATATATATATATATATATATATATATATATATATATATATATATATATATATATATATATGTTTGTTTGTTTTTTGTTTTGTTCTTTTTGGCACAATTTAGGCCTAGATTTTCTCAGAGAATTCCCTCTTGAATTTATACGCCGTAGGTGCTCATCATTATTATTCTTGTATATCTATTTTGTGTACACTGATATTGCGCTTTCTTTAAAACTATATAGGGTTACGCAATATTTAGATAATTTAATATATATATATATAATCTTATAAAATAAAATAAAAATAATAGGAGCATTTAACGTATTTTTGGGATTTCGTACAGGTGCATGTATATTTTATCTTTTTTTTTGTGTGTGTGTGGGGGGGGTATGATATGTTTATTAATTTTTTTGTGTGTGTGTGGAGGGGGGGTATTGATTTCAGTGAATTTACCTTGAGAACGATGAATAGTCTCTCAGATTATATTTGTTCTAATGAAATGTATATGTATTATGCGTATCAGTATCATATATTTTGATGTAATGTCCTTGATAGAATAGTAAGGAGAGAGACTGAATATTTAATTAAACGACCACATACAACCACATATGCAAGCCTGTATATTTGTTCTAATGAAATGTATATGTATTATGCGTATCAGTATCATATATTTTGATGCAATGTCCTTGGTAGAGTCATAAGGAGAGAGACTGAATATTTAATTAAACGACCACATACAACCGCATATGCAAGCCTGTATTCATTACTCTCCCTTTCAATCAATTTTTCACTTGATTGAAAGCTGTAAGAAAAAACAACATCAGAAACATTGCTAAAAACGAAAAAAAAACACAATGTAAAGGCATGGCATACTTTTCATTTCCCCGAAATTAAAATTCACCTTTTAACTATGACTGAATAACTGTAGATCAATTTCGACTGTTTACAGTTGAAGAATGATATCTATATACAATCAGAAAAATAAGCATCGTTACCCTTTGCATAAACTAATATGAAAAATCGGCGAAATGATGTGGAATAGCGAGGCAAGGTAGTTAGAACCGCAATCAGGTGTTAACAGAGAAAAGCGTTCAGTCCCTCATTGAACGCAAGCAAGGGTAACTGATTGTTTTTCTGACTGTTCTGACTGCTTAATTATTTATTACTTTCTGCCTTAAGGTGGCCATACACGTTCAAAAAAAGCGTCAAATTTTTGCATCAAAATTTTGCATCAAAATTTTGATGCAAAATTTTGACGCTTTTTTTGAACGTGTATGGGCCCCTTTAGCAGACTATATTGTCAAAGGATTTTTTAAAAATTTATTATCATTATTATTATTATTACTATCATTATTACTGTTATTATCAATCTAACAATATTCTATTATCTTTCTCATTATCATAACTCTTTGGTAAAGTTCATCGTCTGTAGTAAAAGATTTCTAATGACATACGGAATAAAGTGATACAAAAAACACTTTATGAACGGTAATGAAAACATATAAAAGTTATCCCCTGAACACAGAAAGAGAAAATATTTTAAGGGTGACTATTATAATTATAATATTTTTTTGCTGTAGCCTTATGTGGATATAATTTCGCGGTTGCGTTTCATTCAAATGATATATCCTGTGTGTATGCTGTGGGCAAAACTACGCTGATTTCTTGATATTCTAGTTCAGACAGTTACCTTCAATTGCCAGTACTTTATGCTTCCGTAACTGTACCGAGCCTGCTTCATGATTTTGATTAACATATTGAAAAGAAAGGAGGCGGCAGAAAATTTGTTTTTTTCCAAGAGAGAGAGAGAGAGAGAGAGAGAGAGAGAGAGAGAGAGAGAGAGAGAGAGAGAGAGGAGAGAGAGAGAGAGAGAGAGAGAGAGAGAGAGAGAGAGAAGAGAGAGAGAGAGAGAGAGAGAGAGAGAGAGAGAGAGAATCGACGCACATCCGTAAATAATAGACCTTTATCTTAAGTACACGAGTAACCTCACGTTCTGTCTCTGAAGCAGGGTCATTAGATATGTGTTTTATTCTACGAACTATTACATCCTTAAAGGTAAAATAATCAAATATTTCTTTGGATTATATACATTTATTCCATATAGAACAGTTCAAAAAATGCATTGTAATTGCTTTACATATGTAGGGAATGTTGTTCTTGCAATGGCTTATTGGTAAACAGAATACAGCCAGGTATAATTGTTGTTTTTATTGCGTTACCTATGGTGCAGTCTTTGCTTGCTCATGCATTTATTTCGGAATATGAATACACACACACACACACACACACACACACACACACACACACACACACACACACACACACACACACACACACACACACACACACACACACACACACACACACGAGTAAGCTACACCTGTCACCCACAAAATCTCTTCTCTATTTCTATCCTCCAACATTATATACAATTTTGCATTGATCTTATGCTTTCAAATAAGGAAGACAATAGATCAGGTTAATACAAAAACACGAATAGTTTGATCTTTCTTCAGCATTAAAGGTCATATCTGGTGGTTCTCAAGCTAAAGGTAAACATTATAAGCACCAGTGAAAAAATAAAACTAAAAGTGTTTTTTTTTTTATATTGAAACAGTTAAATGGAATTAAGGAGTAATCTTTGTTCATAATTTAATATTGCAAACTTGTGCTTAACATAATAAGGTATTGGAATAATAAGGAATATTTTTTAACTTTACTGAATGATAATGAGTAAAATCTTACACTGGAG